ACTGCATGCTGGGAGTTATTAATACAGACTGGCACAGCATGCTGGGAGTTATTAATACAGGCTGGCACTGTATTCTGGGAGTTATTAATACAGACTGGCACCGCACAGCATGCTGGGAGTTATTAATACAGACTGGCACAGCATGCTGGGAGTTATTAATACAGACTGGTACTGTATGCTGGGAGTTATTAATACAGACTGGCACTGTATGCTGGGAGTTATTAATACAGACTGGCACACTATGCTGGGAGTTATTAATACAGACTGGCACACTATGCTGGGAGTTGTTAATACAGACTGGCACTGCATGCTGGGAGTTGTTAATACAGACTGGCACACTATGCTGGGAGTTATTAATACAGACTGGCACACAGTATGCTGGGAGTTATTAATACAGACTGGTACTGTATGCTGGGAGTTATTAATACAGACTGGCACAGCATGCTGGGAGTTATTAATACAGACTGGCACTGTATGCTGGGAGTTATTAATACAGACTGGCACACTATGCTGGGAGTTATTAATACAGACTGGCACACAGTATGCTGAGAGTTACTAATACAGACTGGTACTGTATGCTGGGAGTTATTAATACAGACTGGCACAGGATGCTGGGAGTTATTAATACAGACTGGCACACTATGCTGGGAGTTATTAATACAGACTGGCACAGGATGCTGGGAGTTATTAATACAGACTGACACTGCATGCTGGGAGTTATTAATACAGACTGGCACACTATGCTGGGAGTTATTAATACAGACTGACACTGCATGCTGGGAGTTATTAATACAGACTGGCACACTATGCTGGGAGTTATTAATACAGACTGGCACAGCATGCTGGGAGTTATTAATACAGACTGGCACTGTATGCTGGGAGTTATTAATACAGACTGGCACACTATGCTGGGAGTTATTAATACAGACTGACACAGCATGCTGGGAGTTATTAATACAGACTGGCACAGCATGCTGGGAGTTATTAATACAGACTGGCACACTATGCTGGGAGTTATTAATACAGACTGACACACTATGCTGGGAGTTACTAATACAGACTGGCACAGCATGCTGGGAGTTATTAATATAGACTGGCACACTATGCTGGGAGTTATTAATACAGACTGGCTCAGCATGCTGGGAGTTATTAATACAGACTGGCACACTGTGCTGGGAGTTATTAATACAGACTGGTACTGTATGCTGGGAGTTATTAATACAGACTGGCACAGCATGCTGGGAGTTATTAATACAGACTGGCACACTATGCTGGGAGTTATTAATACAGACTGACACACTATGCTGGGAGTTACTAATACAGACTGGCACAGCATGCTGGGAGTTATTAATATAGACTGGCACAGCATGCTGGGAGTTATTAATACAGACTGGCACACTATGCTGGGCGTTATTAATACAGACTGACACTGCATGCTGGGAGTTATTAATACAGACTGGTACTGTATGCTGGTAGTTATTAATACAGTCTGGCACAGGATGCTGGGAGTTATTAATACAGACTGGCACACTATGCTGGGAGTTATTAATACAGACTGGCACAGCATGCTGGGAGTTATTAATACAGACTGGCACACTATGCTGGGAGTTATTAATACAGACTGGCACTGTATGCTGGGAGTTATTAATACTGACTGGCACCGCATGCTGGGAGTTATTAATACAGACTGGCACACTATGCTGGGAGTTATTAATACAGACTGACACTGCATGCCGGGAGTTATTAATACAGACTGGTACTGTATGCTGGGAGTTATTAATACAGACTGGCACAGGATGCTGGGAGTTATTAATACAGACTGGCACACTATGCTGGGAGTTAATACAGACTGGCACAGCATGCTGGGAGTTATTAATACAGACTGGCACATTATGCTGGGAGTTATTAATACAGACTGGCACAGTATGCTGTGAGTTATTAATACAGACTGGCACAGCATGCTGGGAGTTATTAATACAGACTTGCACACTATGCTGGGAGTTATTAATACAGACTGGCACAGCATGCTGGGAGTTATTAATACAGACTGGCACTGTATGCTGGGAGTTACTAATACAGACTGGCATTGTATTCTGGGAGTTATTAATACAGACTGGCACTGTGTGCTGGGAGTTATTAATACAGACTGGCACTGCGTGCTGGGAGTTAATACAGACTGGCACACAGTATGCTGGGAGTTATTAATACAGACTGGCACAGCATGCTGGGAGTTACTAATACAGACTGGCACAGGATGCTGGGAGTTATTAATACAGACTGGCATTGTATTCTGGGAGTTATTAATACAGACTGGCACTGTGTGCTGGGAGTTATTAATACAGACTGGCACAGGATGCTGGGAGTTATTAATACAGACTGGCATTGTATTCTGGGAGTTATTAATACAGACTGACACAGCATGCTGGGAGTTATTAATACAGACTGGCACTGTATTGTGGGAGTTATTAATATAGACTGGCACTGCATGCTGGGAGTTAATACAGACTGGCATTGTATTCTGGGAGTTAATATAGACTGGCACTGCATGCTGGGAGTTATTAATACAGACTGGCACAGCATGCTGGGAGTTATTAATACAGGCTGGCACTGTATTCTGGGAGTTATTAATACAGACTGGCACAGCATGCTGGGAGTTACTAATACAGACTGGCACAGCATGCTGGGAGTTATTAATACAGACTGGTACTGTATGCTGGGAGTTATTAATACAGGCTGGCACTGTATTCTGGGAGTTATTAATACAGACTGGCACAGCATGCTGGGAGTTATTAATACAGACTGGTACTGTATGCTGGGAGTCATTAATACAGACTGGCACTGTATGCTGGGAGTTATTAATACAGACTGGCACAGTATGCTGGGAGTTATTAATATAGATGGGCACAGCATGCTGGAGTTATTAATACAGACTGGCACACTATGCTGGGAGTTATTAATACAGACTGGCACAGCATGCTGGGAGTTATTAATACAGACTGGCACAGTATGCTGGGAGTTATTAATACAGACTGGCACAGCATGCTGGGAGTTATTAATACAGACTGGTACTGTATGCTGGGAGTTATTAATACAGACTGGCACAGCATGCTGGGAGTTATTAATACAGACTGACAGTATGCTGGGAGTTATTAATACAGACTGGTACTGTATGCTGGGAGTCATTAATACAGACTGGCACAGCATGCTGGGAGTTATTAATACAGACTGGCACTGTATGCTGGGAGTTATTAATACAGACTGACACAGTATGCTGGGAGTTATTAATACAGACTGGCACAGTAAACTGGTCATTATCATACAGACTAACACTGTAAACTGGAAGTTATTAAAATAGACTGGCACAGTATACTGGGAGTTATTCCCACTGAATTCACGAATATTATCCCTTAATAACCTAGGTCTATAATTTTCAGGCAAAGATTTGTAACCCTTTTTTGAATATAGGAACCACATCTGCCTTCCTTTAATCCTCTGGTACAATTCCTGAAAGAAAATAATCTTGAAAGATTAAATACAGAGGTTCACTCACTTATTTCCACAGTTAGCTCCTTAAGGCCACGTGGGTGAATACCATCAGGTCCCGGAGCTTTGTTTATATTAACATTCTTTAGCTGTTGTTGCATCTTGTCTTGAGTCATCCAATCAAAATTTTTCTGCAATTGTTTTTTTGCAGCAATCATTTGCTTATCTCTAGCTATAGGGTCATCCTTAATATATACTGTGAAGAAAATAGCATGCCATTCGGGACTTTTTATGTTTTATTAGTTCGGTAGCTGTAACTACCACCCCTCTGGCTCATTATCTTCAAAGGAAACTGTCAATTAAGCGCTCTTCCTGTGTGTCCGCCGTTCGTATACCCAAACGCCACGTGCAAGAGAAAATGGCAGCCATCTTGTTTGCACGAAAGGAGGCAGCGGGACTTGGTCGTGGAGTGTCTGGAACTAAAATCGGACAATCGACTTCCCGAACACTGGTAAAACTATACGAACGCTGCTTCCTTTTTCCAAACAGCTAGGAGAGTGCTGTTCAGTTGTTTCGTTCCCACGAACCAGGGGAACAATCGCTACTATGCGCCAGGGGGTTCCGTTCATGCATTAGTTCGTTTTTGTGCCTTTTCGAAATAGACCGACCGCACAGCCTAAACTCATGGAACTCATGGAACTTTCTGGGTAGGAGTGTGCGGTCAGTCCAAATGGGACTTCCATAAAATTTTTAAAAACCCTGAACTGATCTGGGTGATTTTTGGATATGTTGGTCATCCAGATCAGGGCTATCAGGCGATATGACATCTATAGGGATGCCATGTGTTTTGGGGTACTTTCTAAGTTTTGTGAAAAATATGTTTTTTTCTGCCTGGAGATAATTGAGTTATTACTCTAGCTGACTCAATTATCTCACAGGTAAAGTGGAGGGAATTATCTGTTTGTATTGGGAGTGTCACACTTTGTCACTGTATTGTTATTGATTGTAAACTTTGTGTCCCTGTTCCCCACAAGGTCCATATGGGAGTGCCCCTTGCATAAAAGCCAGTGTGACACCCATTAAAATCATTCCTGTTGTACTCTTCATGAAGTCTAGGCTCATGTTTGGGTAACTGTCTACTTGCTGGGGAGAAACTACTTGGATGCTGCATACATCTGGAACCGTTCGAATCTACACCCGAACTGCAGCTATAATCACTCAGGCTCCGCAAGTTCGGGAGGAATAGGCGAACAGGGTATCTACTATACCAGCGTTCGTAACATATACTATATTAAATGTTAAAGGAACACTATAGTCACCTAAATTACTTTAGCTAAATAAAGCGGTTTTAGTGTATAGATCATTCCCCTGCAATTTCACTGCTCAATTCACTTTCATTTGGGAGTTAAATCACTTTGTTTCTGTTTATGCAGCCCTAGCCACACCTCCCCTGGCTATGATTGACAGAGCCTGCATGAAAAAAAAAACTAGTTTCACTTTCAAACAGATGTAATTTACCTTAAATAATTGTATCTCAATCTCTAAATTGAACTTTAATCACATACAGGAGACTCTTGCAGGGTCTAGCAAGCTATTAACATAGCAGGGGATAAGAAAATCTTAACTAAACAGAACTTGCAATAAAGAAAGCCTAAATAGGGCTCTCTTTACAGGAAGTGTGTATGGAAGGCTGTGCAAGTCACATGCAGGGAGGTGTGACTAGGGTTCATAAACAAAGGGATTTAACTCCTAAATGGCAGAGGATTGAGCAGTGAGGCTGCAGGGGCATGTTCTATACACCAAAACTGCTTAATTAAGCTAAAGTTGTTCAGGTGACTATAGTGTCCCTTTAAACATGCAGGAAATTGCTTCTCACTTGATTCTGTCGCTGTCATTAGTCAAGAAATCTATAGTTCATTTAAATTGTTGAGTCACACGCATTTTTTAAACTAATTTACTTTTACTGTTTATAAGCATAGTCTACTATAATGCTAAAGTTAGCCAACTAATAGTTACCAACTATAGTCCTACTTTGGCAATTAGCAACATTTATATATGTGCTGCTATTACCTTTTTCATAATTTAATCTTTTTATTATACTTTTCTTTTCGTGTTTATAAGCATAGACTTCTCAGTCTATGCTTATAGACCGCACAATCTATACAGTACAGTTATATGCCTTGTAATTTAAGCGCTAAATCTAGGCAGCTATTAGATACAACTATCGGCCTTAATTGGACAGCTATTAATGTTTATCTAAGTGCTGTTGTCGCTGTTACCATACGCTTATTCTTTTTATTTAACAAGAATGGGGTGTTTGAATGGGGTGTTTTCTTGTGTATCAGTTCAGCTTCTGACATTTATTCTGTAAGAGCTATACTGTTATGCAGCTGTGTGCTGGTGATATTAATCGTCTGTAATATATCATCAGCTCGATAAAAATACAATAAATAAAAACATAGATCAGACTAAGCAGTAATCGATTAGCCAAGATTGATTAATGGAATTTGAAAAAAAAAAATAAGGAATCTTAAAAGTAAGTTGTTGTTTTTTTTTTTGTTTTTTATATATTTAATTTTTTATAATGTGTTTTTGATACAACGCATAGAAAAGAATGGGTATTTTCTAGCCAAAGAGTGCCACCTTCATATGTTCTTTGTTGCAGCCACTAGGTGTCAGTATTCGGGAGCGCAGTTTTAAATTATGATACAGCCATCTACTTTGATCATCTTCTACTTGGGTGATGTGACACTAGTGAACCATAGTGCAAGGACTTTTGCACGGTCAAATGCGCCTTTATTTTCTATATTGTGGTATTTTGAGAAAAATTTTAGCAGTATAGACGGACATTTTTCTTTTCCAATTTATTATGGCATAAAAACACAATTCTATTGTCAGCTTCTCTTAGCATAATGAATACATATCTTGGTTAGTTCCGAAAAAAAATGTTGTAAAATAGAAAAAGCACAGTTAAAACGTGCCATTGTTCAGCAATATCTCACATGTGGTAAGGTAGATCTCAATTGTTCCAGACCTGGTGGGACTGCTTGTTCTGCTGTCCTTGGCTGGTTGCCTGCATGTGCCAATCTGAGCTGAATGGTGTTGGGGCACTGGGAGCATGCATAGAATTCTTCAGCAGTGATTTGCACATGTTTTGCCCAGAGTTTGGCAAGCTAGGAGGCTGTCAGTCAACTGGGCATGTATTCACGACAGACTGCCACTTCCCTTGTTTGTATGACCCAGCCCCCTTTCGGGGCAAGGCACTAGTTTGGGCGTCCCCAGTGACAATGATGGTGTTACTGGCATGCCCCCTTGGGTTCACCCTGTCCCAGTGGGGAAAGTATGCGTTAATCCAGCATCATTACAGAGATGTTAACAGTAATTTGGTTTAGGGAAATTAGGGTTTGGGGATACCTGACTTCAAGTTCCTGTATACTTTAATCTCTATCAATATCAGACCAACTTCCTAACCTGAAGCACACCCAAACCCTAAACACCCCTAAGTTATCTTCGACTGCCTAACTCAACTCTAACCCTAGTGGCAGCATTTAAAATGGCCTTGTGATTTAAAACAGTGCAACTTAATTGTTGTTAATATGTCAATCAATTCTGCATGACCCATTAATGTGAGGGCATTTAATGCACTTTAGTTAATTAATGCCAGTTTTTTTTAATGTACTCCAATGTATACTTTTTTTTCTGTAAGCATCCAAGGCAAATGTTGAGATATGATCGTTTATAAGAAGGTAATGTAGGGATATATAAAGGATTACTAGCTAATTGAAATCCAAATTGCAAAAACAGCTGATATAGAAAAAGATCTCCAATTCATCTGTAGTCACAGATTGCCAGTTTTAAGAAATAACACTTTTTTTTTTGTTTTTTAGAGAACGCACTTTTTATGTCATTGGTTGAAATATTTACAACAGCAGCAATTTAAGTGAAGCTTCAGTTTCATCTACTCACAAAAATAACACTATCCAAAAATTACCTTCGTTGATCAGGTGCATGCATGGCACTGCCCACTGGCACTGCTTAACCCCCTCCACCGCATTAAAAACCGTGTCAACACTCGGGGATATCAAGTTAAGTTAGCGTAAGATGTTGATGAGCCCTTCCCTAATAACAAACAGGTGAGTATAATTCAAAAAACAACAACTTGAGACAGGTTGTTTTTTTTTTTTTGCATAGAGTAACACTATACATATGTAGCCATACAAGATTTTTTTTAAGGTGTACTACTGCAGGCATGGTTTAATGTCCTCAGCTTTGATGCTTTTCTGCCCATACCTAAATTAACTTTGGAATATAGGTTCAACCATTCTACAACCAGTCTTATGCCGCAAGATGCCATTCATCATTTTAACACTGTCATCAAACCACTTTGGTTTTATTTTGTAAAAAATGACAAACACATATATGAGTAGACTGTTTTTCCCCTTGCTATTCTTGTTCGTGTCAGTAATAGGAATAACGTTCTCTTGTTCCTTGGAATCTTCTTTGATGTGTGACACAAAGGGTTTATGTAGCTGTCAGTGTAGGCCAAGGAGCAAAGCATTAGTTAGGTCAGTATAATCTGGCTTGTGCAGTAGAAACCTATCGTTCACAACACCATATCTCTGATCCCAGCCTTTGCTACGTAAAAGGAAAAAGAAGTAAAAATGCTCCAGAGATGGAAGTAGTCTGCGTAATCTGGTCCAGTTTCATCAGTCCGTTCTACTTAGTGCTTTAGGCTTAGGCTTGTGTTGTAGACTCAGACAAGCAATTGTGAAACCTATAAGGGTAAAGATAAGTGTGTCAGTTGTAACTGTTACCACAGCTATACCAAGCTGTATTCTGTCTGAAAATCCATGCCACAAGATAAAAGATGGGGAGGATTTATAAATGATGCCCTCTGTGGGTCTGGTAAAAAAAAATAAAAGTTTAACCAGGGCTACATCATCCCATTAAGTTTAGTCCATTCAAAGATATCCTGCTCGCAAACAATGTCCGAATTGACGAGCAAATACCTGTCTCCTACACAGAAATGCTTCTGGCAAGCTGCGCACTTGAAACACTCTAAGTGGTACACTTTGTCCTTGACCCGCATGGTCATTTCATAAGCTCGGATGCGCTTGTCACATGAAGCACACAGTCCATCTTGGCCAAAGAGTCTGGAGAAAAGAACCAAAACAAAAGTTAGAGGTCTCCGTCCATCGTTTGCCAGGCCAGATCAATCACATTAACCTACCAACTGAAAGACTAGGAGTCAGTAAATTAGGACAGAAATTTTTCAAACCTGCTTCTTTTTTTCTAAGACATTTCAGATCAGAATTTTTCATAGATCTTCAAAGTTGAAAAGTTGCACACATCTTACATTTGTAATGAGCAGCATATGCTGGTAAACAGGTAACAGATAAACAAAGAAACAGAAAAGCAGATAGGTAAGGCCGTAAACAGATAAGACAGTCAAAAACTTTCCTTTCTATAAGATGGGGTGGGGGGGGGGGAGGGGAATCTCTCCAGACTATTGTGATTATCTTTATGTCTTTATCTTAAACTTACTCCTCTCCAGGGCCCCTGTTTAGCAACAGAGTTTACAACACAGAACCCACAGAAATAAGTACAATTTCTGGAGAGCACTCTTATCATACTTTCCATCCATTTGAATTCTGAATGAACCTTTAAGTTGGGGGCATTTAATTAATTTTAATTCGTTCATGACAGTTTTGTTAATGTAGATCGAGGTATATGTTTTCGGTAAGCATCCAACGCATCCAACTATATAAATATAAAACCCCATGGTTGGTTTCCACCAGTGCTACATTAACCTGTTTATAAATGTAAATTTGTTTGCAGAACTAACATTTTTGGTTGAGTTGTGGCTAGGAGAATTCTCCATTTTATCTTTGCCTTAAATTTGAAATTCAAATTGAATTCACATTAAAATCCGGACAATTACTACTTTAGTGAATAAACCTTCTTAATAGGGATGCACCAAAATATCAGCTGCCAAAATTTTCGCCCAAAAATGGGCCTATCCCATTTTGGCCGAAAACGGGTCAAATTTGCAGTAATTAAAATATATATATATATATATATATATAAAAATTAATATTTTTTATTATTGTAGTGCATAGTTTAACAGACATGCTTGCATTAACAATTCAGATGATTATATATCACAATGAAAGATAGTAATGATGACATGAAAAGTCAAGAATACTGCACTTGCGACGGAGGGGAGAACACTATGGGATAGGGGAGGTGGGAAGAACACTTTGGGAGGGGAAGGGGGGAAAGAACACTATCGGACAGTTGAGGGGGGAAAGAACACTATGGGGGGAGGGAGAACACTGGGATAGGGAGGGGAGAACACTATGGGAAAAGGGAGGTGGGAAGAACACTTTGGGACGGGGAGGGGAAAAACACTATGGGACAGGGGAGGAGGGAAGAACACTATGGGACAGGGGGGGGAAGAATACTGGGACAGGGAAAGGGGGGGAAAGAACACTGGGACAGGGGAGGGGAGAAAATCCATGCCACAAGATAAAAGATGGGGAGGATTTATAAATGATGCCCTCTGTGGGTCTGGACAGGAGAGGTGGGAAGAACACTATGGGACAGGGGAGGGGAGAAAAGAACACTAGGGGACAGGGGGAACACTATGGGACTAGGGAGGAGGGGGAAAAGAACACAATGGGACTGGGGAGGAGGGAGGAAAGAAAACTAAAAAAGGAGGGGAGAGAAACACTAGAGGGGGGAGTGAGGAACATTAAGTGTGGGGGGGGGACCACTAAAAGAGAAGGGAAGTTTTTCATATTAGATTAAATTAAAAAGTCTGATATTAATAAAATTTTGGGGGAAAAAGTCATTTGGGGTTTTCAGCCAAGGGCATCCTGAATTTTCAGTTTCGGCCCAGAATTTTCATTTCGGTGCATCCCTACTTCTTAAGTAATTAAGTAACGATCCTCAGCAACATGTGAGGCAGTTATAAAACTATAGATTACCTGAGATAGTCTCTACGGCATAGCTTACGCCCCAATTTATAATACAGTCTCCTTCCAACCTCTCCAAGCCGGCAGCCACAGAGATCACAGCTTAGACAATCCTCATGCCAGTATTGGTCAATAGCTTTTAGGAAGTACCGGTCCCCGATACTCTGCTGACAGCCCCCACATGTCAGCAGTGAAGGTGGAATCTGAAGGACTTCATCAACAGGTTCACTATGAGAAACACAACATCACAGAGTGTTATCGAGATCAAAAAACAGAATTAAAAGCTTGTATTACAACATATCCCAATAACATCAAATCAGCTGCTGATATTATGGTGGGTTCAAATAAAGACCAATTTTCAGGAAATGTTTAAGAAATATGTAACTCAATATATGTCTTGCTTCATCTGTCCACAAATAAAAATACATGCACTTTCCACACAGCAAAATTAAAATGTATATCAAAATATTTCTAGAAAGAAAAAAATGCACATTTGTAGTGAAGGAAGGTTCCCATGGCAGACAGACACCTATAAGCAGTTGACTGCCTTGCCTACTTGTAAATGCAGCCTTGCAGGCATTTCAGATGTTCAAAATGACCCTTAGCTGTGTTCTATGTAATCCCAAAACACTGGATATTTATCATAGGCCACCAGGTCCAACCTGTAAACCGGTGACACTATCTTTCTATCTATCTATCATTTTTTAAATAACAAAATAAACATATACAGTTATGGGAAAAACAAAGCACACCCTCTTTGAACTCTATGGTTTTACATTTCAGGGCATAATAACAATCATCTGTTCCTTAGCAGGTCCTAAAATTAGGTCAATGCTACATAGCTTCTCCATTTTGGTTTTAGTATTGTTTGATAAATCATGACACGGTATAATAGGTCATGCGTTGTTGTCCATCTGAAGTTTTATTTACGTAATTTTAAAACCTGCTAAGGAACAGATGATTGCTGTTTTGTCCTGATATGTAAAACCATGGAATTCAAAGAGGGTGTACTTTAGTTTTTCCATGACTGTAAGTGACAATACAATATGTAAAAACGCAATAAGCACTAGGAATCATTAAAATAATTGAAATAAAATGTATAGTTCTGTTTTATTTTAGAAAGCAAATTAAAGCGGCACTTTCATAGCCAAATCCCGTTTTTTTTAACCCCTGTCCCGACTCCACTACATCTAATTGTCCCCCTAGGCACCCCCAAATGCCCCTAAGCCCCCCATATTACCTATTTTGTAATCTTTATTTTGTGCCCGGACCTAGATCCTGGGCGCCTACATCTTTGTGTGGGTAGATGAAGTCCCTGTTAAACACTTGGGCATTCGAACGGGAATTTCATCTATTCATTAATTTGTCCGAAAGACGAATGAATGAATAGAAATGTCAGACCAACAAACAAACACCGAATAGCAATGTTTGTTTGTTTAGTTTATTACAAGGAGGGAGCTACCAGCTCGCAGCTCCCTCCTTGTAAAATGCAAAAATAGAAGCAGTAGGGAGCAGTGCTCCCCGCCACTTCTTAAGCCCCCCATGTCCTCTCTCACTCTATGGTGGTCAATATGACCCCCATAATAGCATAACGGAGATTAAAATCTCCCAAATGCCCCTACTTGCTATGCCCCCCTTCCAACAAATGGCCCCACGGTGGGGCATCTATTAACTACTGGGGGGGACATAGTGTTCCCCTTGACCCCCCACCCGTGGCCACCGAATGTGGGCTATTCAACTAAACGGGGGAGATAGGGTGAAAATGAAGGGGGGGGGCCTATTGTGGGGTTTTGTTTTTTTTAGGGCACCCCATTTTTATCTAGGGCCCCCACCCGCTGCTCAAGGTCCCCCCCTTTTGTAATTTACGGCCCCCACCCGCCGCTCATGGGTGGGGGGGGGACAATAGGTCCCCTCCTCATTTTCATTTAGGGCCCCCAGCCGCCGCTCATGGGAGTTTAATAGCCCCCACACATGCAGCACAGGTGTGGACTCGGAAGGGGGGATACTAGGTTTTTTTTTGTTTTTTGTTTTTACAGTGAACAGCCAGTGTTTACCACTGTTCTCATTCTGTTAAGAAGCAATTCAGCAGTTTTGCCGGCGTTCTGTCTAAATGACAGGCCGTTCAGGAATACTGACAGGAAGCATCGCGAGATCATGGAGGAAAGGTAAGAATTGTGGGAAAATTGCTCTGACCACCTGACATGAAGCACACTTTGCTCCTCCGCTGGTCATAGATGGTCAGGAGTAGGAAACCTCCATAAGACAAATAGTCCCTACGTTGTCTTATGTTTTAACGAAAACTAGAACAGACAGGAAGAAATGAAGAACCTATCCTGACAGAGGGAGAGAAGAAGAATCGATTAAAGAGAGGTACGTTCGGCAAGACAGTGCCGCTTTAAGTTTTGTTAAACAAGACACATTTCAGAGTTTAATTTCCACACAAAAAAAACTAATTACAAAACAATTTGCTATTTTTTGACATTCCAAATTATCTTGAAGGAAATCCTTGGAGGTTTCTGCCTGTGATGACAGCGGTGGTATTACTGACTGAAGATGTTAATTTAGTTTCTAAATTTGTTATAAAACATGATTCCCTGAGTGAAAAGTGCAGACTCATTATCCACTCAAACTAATGAATTATCATCATGCAGAAATGACATGACTATTCCTGGCATTTGTCATATTGCTATGATGCCTATATTTTTCTCCGTATCTATGTTTGTAGAATAAAAACATTACACAAAACAAAAATAATAAATTTCAAAATGTGCATCCCACGGGGGCGCACCATCGCTTCGTCACGACCCTTCCTCGCTCATCCATACCTCCCAACAACAAAGCGAGACAATTTCATTTTAGGGAGGTGTGGCTGCGGCAGGGCTGTTTTGAGACATTTTAGGTGACTTACTAATAAGAATTGATGCAACTAAAATGTAATTTAGAACAAGAACAATGTATCTTATTTACACAGACTGATTTCTAAACACATTTATTATAATTTAAAGACACATTACAGGGAGTATTATTGCTGTGTTATACACTCAGACACACCAACAATATTGAGCTCCTAGAACAGAGGGAATTTAGGCAGTGCCAGATTAAGAGCCCAGCGGCCTGGTGTTGACAATTATGATGGGCCACTAAAACAGTTATACCTGCCAAGGTAATATGCCATTCATATATCTAGTGGAGGTGGTGCTGGAGGGAAACTCACAGGATATAGCTATCAGAAAACACATACCCTATGCTAATCTCTCGCTTTCATCTTTCACGTAAATCCATACCCCACTAACAGCAGTGTCCGGTGAAGCATGATGTCGATGGGTGGGGTAAAAGGGTGGGCCACTGACGTGAATCACGTAACCAGAACAACCAAACATGACCCAAAAAATCTGCCAGAGGAATTAGAAGGTCAGCCTGGCGTGAATGTATGTCAGGCAGCCTGCCAATCATGCAGGATGACCAACCAAGGGCACACTGTGCAGACAGCACCCTGAGCTTGGCATAAATGCATCTTGCTCCACGCTTTCTAAGGACTGTCCCTTAGCACTCGCTGACCCACTCCTCTCCTAACCTTCTTACTAGCTGGCAGAAGCTCCTATTACAGTCTGGGACAGAAACAAAATGTAAGTACTGAGTGTAGAAGAAAGGGAAAATGCCAGTGTTAGAGAGACCGAAGCAGCAAGAGCAGTGCACAAAGTCAGCTTTACATTACCTAATTTCATTGTCAGCCAGTCCACACCAGTTTTGTTTCCCTACATCTACATGTGAAGAGGTTTTTTTTTAGCAATGGGCCTGTTCCATGGGCATGGGCCTGGAGCTGCAGCTCCATCAGCCCCTACGTTAAACCGGCCCTTGCGTTGGAGTATAAAAGAGGGACAGGGAGTGTTGGGTCCAAAATAAGGACTGTTCCTCCTAAATTGAGACAATTGGGACGAATGCATCATCCACCACTATTAAACCCAACAAGGCACCCCCCTGCTCATGCACAATACTTCACTTCACCTAACAGAGCACCGTCACAACCCCCACTAATCCACTATACCAAAACTTTATACACAATCCTTTATTAACCTCCAGATTCCTTATTCTAGCTCCTCTTAGAAATTCCTTTTAATCCATCTACATCCTGTTCTATATCCTCTTTCTTCTTTGTCTTCTCTCCCTTCCCTGCCATGCTCTTTGCTTTCTCTTTCACACACACAGCGAGGCCGCCAACACGTGCCCCCCCCCCCCACACACACACATTTTGTTAATTCATTGCATTACTCTGTGTTACACACCTCTTACGTGTGATGTGCAGCTCAGCACTGTACAGTTTGTGTCGGTAATAAGGTTACAAGGTGACAGAGACAACAAATAGACTGTAAACTCGTTTGAGCGCGGTCATCATCAACCTATAGTTCTTGTAACATTTTGTAACAGTCTCATTTATTTTTAAATTTCCGTGTTTTTAAATATTGTAAATCGCTGCAGAATAATTTGGCGCTTATATAAATATCATTAGTGCCTCGGCCAGCTTCAGTATTTTTAGTTTTCTTTGTCTAAATATTATTATTATGATAATCATTTATTTGGTGTCACCTTAGTCACCTTATATCCCTGCTTTACAACAGGGATATAAAATGCAAATAAAGGACAGACTTAAAAAAAAATGTCATCGCAAATTAACAATGAATAGGGCCCTGCCAATTATATAATGCTCTCAATAAATACAAGGACAACTCAAATATAATTCGTACAGTGAATCCAAGGGTCCCAGACAGTCTACGAGCCTTACTCCTTATGTGCCCCCCCGTTAATGACCATTGCCAGGCAGAATATGGATTTATAACTACTGGTGGTATAAGGGAATTAACAGGAGTCAGAAGGCAGCACAACCAGCAGACCAATGTCAAACATAAAGTGAAATGGTTTGTGGAACAGGCAGTTAATGTATTAATTAAATAGTTACTCCCTAGGAATGCGCTAGCTAATGAGCTTCTGACATGATAACATCATTATCACAGTAGATGGTTCTGTACGATTAGACATATAAATAACTAGCTTTAATTTAAACAAATCCCATGGTGGTCTGAACTGAACCTGAATAGCTCTCCGGAGGTTTAGATACCCTGATAGTACTTATTTATAAATTCCAATATTCTAGAAGTGGAGCAAACAGAATTAACGTTCCATTTGGTTTCCATGGCGATTGATCCACTTTAGAACTTAGAACTGTATAATATACCTAAATATAAACCGTACCTTATAAAGCATGCCAACCTGCCTATTGGACACAAGCAGTCCAAATTTCTAACTCACGTAGTAATGTAATGTACAGAACTACATCACCTTGCACTAAAGTGTTCCGGCTAGTCACTAATTGTTAGGAACTCATAGGAAATGCAATGTGAATTTTACATTTGAAGCTATAATAGCGCTAAACTGAAAATGTATCTGACTCGGAGAATATTTCCATTTTGGTTACTTTGGCGTAAAATGTGAAATTTACTTTGAATTTCAGACAATTCACTGTCTAGGAAAGAATTATGGTGTAATGTTCCAACGAAATTGGTATTTTAAGGACAATAATAATAATAATTAAGAAATACATAAAATATGAATTGACCTTCTTTTTGAGACCATGTATTGGAATTGAAACTATTTTTTGATCCCTAATCTCGTACTGTAATATCCTTTGCAGTTTTTGTTTGTACAGTTAAGAAGTTAAGGGACAAGTGAAGACAAAAACAGTAACTTATCCAAAACTGAGAATATTCTCGGATTCAGCTTTTTTTTTATTTAAAAAATTTTTTCGACCTAAGATTTTTCAATTCCTTTGTCAATTCTCTACAATTCACAGTTTAGTGAATAAGTCCTATGTGACAGGGCAGGTCGATCAAGTTCCAGTATAATCAAATGATTAGTATTAGAGAATATTATTATACCTTTAACATTAGAGCATATAGTAATCCAATGATGAATTCATTATGGTAGGTCTATAGTTCTATATTAAAGAGGTAAATACAATGCTGGGATGACTTACAGTGACGATATACCTGGCATGTACTTTGTATGACGGTAATGGCTTGATAATAAAGGGTTAAAGAATACATGGCAAGACCAACTCTGACCTTGGTAAGATTAAACATAAATTATAAGTAGATAAACCACACTCCTGTTGGTTGAGGTTGGCAGAAGCTGTATGTCTCCCACTGGAGGAGAACGGAAAGTTGTCCCTTATGACCTAGATAAATGCCATTTCCAGTTATGCAATTTATACATTACACCACCAGCCTTTTTACACCTCAAATCTACTCACATGCTGCGTCATCTTAAGGCTGATCAAGCATCACAGGCATTGTAGTTCTACAACTGGAGCTGAAGAGATCTGCCTAAAGGCCTCATAACTACATACCTGTCTTATTGTTTCTCCACCACGTGCCTGCCTCACCTCCTTGCACACTCACACTATTTCACATTTCTTTCAATTCATTACCCCGCTCATTCCATCCTTATAGTACATAACTACTTCCTAAATCTTCTACCACTCTGCCCTAAGCCCACTTACCTCTCTACCTTGGGCTCACTTACCCTTCTACACACCTTTTTACCCTGAGCGCACTCACCTGTCTAGTCTCCTTCTACCTTGATTATCAGCTCACTCACCTCTCGCTTTCCTACATACACTCATCTCCAACTCACTTCACTAACTTATGTTATTTCTCCACTCATCTCTGTATCCCATGCCCACTCACTGCTCTGCCCTCCACTCATCTCTGTATCCCATGTCCACTCACTGCTCTGCTCTCCACTCATCTCAGTATCCCATGCCCACTCACTGCTCTGCTCTCCACTAACTCTGTATCCCATGCCCACTCACTGCTCTGCCCTCCACTCATCTCTGTATCCCATGTCCACTCACTGCTCTGCTCTCCACTCATCTCAGTATCCCATGCCCACTCACTGCTCTGCTCTCCACTAACTCTGTATCCCATGCTCTCCATTCATCTCTGTATCCCATGCCCACTCATCATTCTGCCCTTCACTCATCTCTGTATCCCATGTCCACTCATCCTTCTGCACTCCACTCATCTCTGTATCCCATGCCCACTCACTGCCCAGCCCTCCACTCAACTGTGTATCCCAATGCCCACTCACTGCTCTGCCCTCCCATGTCCACTCACTGCTCTGACCTCCACTCATCAATGTATCCCATGCCCACTCATCATTCTGCCCTTCACTCATCTCTGCATCCCATGCCCACTCATCATTCTGCCCTCCACTCATCTCTGTATCCCATACCCACTCACTGATCTGCCCTCCACTCATCTCTTATTCCATGCCCACTCACTACTCTGCCTTCCACTCATCTCTGTATCCTATGCCCACTCATCATTCTGCCTTCCACTGATCTCTGTATCCCATGCCCCCTCACCATCCTTCCCTGTACTCATCTCTGTATCCTATGCCCACTCACTGCTCTGCCTTCCACTCATCTCCGTATCCCATGCCCACTCATCATTCTGCCCTCCACTCATCTCTGTATCCTATGTCCACTCACCATCCTTCCCTCCACTTATCTCTGTATCCTATGCCCACTCACCATCCTTCCCTCCACTCATCTCTGTATCCTATGCCCACTCACTGCTCTGCCTTCCATTCATCTCAGTATCCCATGCCTACTCATCATTCTGCCCTCCACTCATCTCAGTATCTCATGCCCACTCATTATTCTGCCCTCCACTCATCTCTGTATACCATGCTCACTCACTGCTCTGTCTATGCTCTGCACTTGTTCTGCTTATGTTCCCGTTGTTCACACACTTCTCTGCTCCAGATCCACTCACCTTTCTGGCTTTCTACATACCTCTCTGATCAATGCTCACTCACCCCTCTACTATATGCTCACTCACAGTTCTGCCCCATGCCCACACACTGTTGACATGGTCTCTGCCAATTTGTATTCTCCTATCTGCCTGATATTAACTCACATCTGCCCTGTTGCCACTCAACTCTCTACCACATATTGTCCACTCACTTCTCTTCCCCATACTGCCCACTCACTTCTCTAACTCATACTACCCACTCACCTCTCTACCACATATTGCCCACTCACCACTCTACCACATATTGCCCACTCACTTCTCTAACTAATACTGCCCACTCACCTTTCTAACCCACACTGACCACTTACCTCTCTACCGCACACTGCCCACTCACCTCTATCACACATATTGCCCACACACTTCTCTAACTCATACTGCATACTCACCTCTCTACCCCATAGTGCCCACTCACCTCTCTAGCCAATACTGCCCACACACCTCACTAACCCATACTGCCCACTCACCTCTCTACCCCATACTGCCCACTCACTTCTCTAACCCATACTGCCCACTCACCTCACTAACCCATACTGCCCACTCACCTCTCTAGCCCATACTGCCCACTCAACTCTCTAATCCATATTGCCCACTCACTTCTCTAACTAATACTGCCCACTCACCTCTCTACCCCATACTGCCCACTCACTTCTCTAACTCATACTACCCACTCACCTCTCTACCACATATTGCCCACTCACCACTTTACCACATATTGCCCACTCACTTCTCTAACTAATACTGCCCACTCACCTCTCTACCCCACACTGCACACTCACTTCTCCAACTCACACTGCCCACTCACCTCTCTACCCCACACTGCCCACTCACCTCTCTACCGCACACTGCCCACTCACCTCTATAACACATACTGCCCACTCACTTCTCTAACTCATACTGCCTACTCACCTCTCTACCCCATAGTGCCCACTCACCTCTCTAGCCAATACTGCCCATACACCTCACTAACCCATACTGCCCACTCACCTCTCTACCCCATACTGCCCACTCACTTCTCTAACCCATACTGCCCACTCACCTCACTAACCCATACTGCCCACTCACCTCTCTAGCCCATACTGCCCACTCAACTCTCTAATCCATATTGCCCACTCACTTCTCTAACTAATACTGCCCACTCACCTCTCTAGCCCATACTGCCCACTAACCCCTCTACCACATATTGCCCACTCACTTCTCTAACTAATACTGCCCACTTACTTCTCTAACTCATACTGCCCACTCAGCTATTTAACCCATACTGCCCCTCACTTCTCTTTCTACCCCATGCTACCCTTTCACCTCTCTACCATATACTGCCCACTCTCTACCACACACTGCCCACTCACCTCTCTGCCTTATACTGCCCACTCACCTCTCTTCCACATACTGCCTACTCACCTCTCTACCACATACTGCCACTCACCTTCTCTGGCCTATACTGCCCACTCACCACTCTCCCACATACTGCCCACTCACCTCTCTGCCTTATACTGCCCACTCACCTCTCTGCCCTATACTGCCCACTCACCTTTCTACCATATACTGCCCACTCACCTCTCTGCCCTATACTGCCCACTCACCCTCTCTACCATATACTGCCCACTCACCTCTCTACCACATACTGCCCACTCACCTCTCTGCCTTATACTGCCCACTCACCTCTCTACCATATACTGCCCACTCACCTCTATACCACATACTGCCAACTCACCTCTCTGCCTTATACTGCCCACTAACCTCTCTGCCCTATACTGCCCACTCACCTTTCTACCATATACTGCCCACTCACCTCTATACCACATACTGCCAACTCACCTCTCTGCCTTATACTGCCCACTAACCTCTCTGCCCTATACTGCCCACTCACCTTTCTACCATATACTGCCCACTCACCTCTATACCACATACTGCCCACTCACCTCTCTGCCTTATACTGCCCACTCACCTCTCTACCACATACTGCCCACTCACCTATCTGCCTTATACTGCCCACTCACCTCTGTGCCCTATACTGCCCACTAACCTCTCTGCCCTATACTGCCCACTCACCTTTCTACCATATACTGCCCACTCACCTCTATACCACATACTGCCCACTCACCTCTCTGCCTTATACTGCCCATTCACCTCTCTACCACATACTGCCTACTCAACTGTCTCCATCACACCCACTCACCTACATGTGACGTTTCAGCTCACTCACTCCATCTCCCATGTGTTGTATACACTCAGTAACAAACCCCCACTTGTACTCACTCTGCTGGGTCCAGACTCTTTCTCTCTATGGCAGATGACATTTGCAGGATTCTGTGTGTTTCCCTCCTATTGTCTCCTGAATGTCCTCTGCTCCTGGAAGGCTTCTCCTCCACCGCCTGCCGCTTCTCCTTTAAACCTCCTGGAGCCCCCAATCTCCCAGTCACCAGCCCGAGCACCAGTGACCCCCCCACACACAGCCTGGTCCCCAATTTCCAGTGTCATCAATGAGAGATGCCTGCATTCCCTCCTCCATCCCTGTCCAGCTGCCTCAGTAATCCCAGCCAGCAGCAGGAGGCTCTGGGACACAGTCCTGTGTCACTGTCACTTATATAGCGGATTGCTGTCCCCTTAGCAGCAAGCAATACTCCCTCTGGCTCAGCCCCTCTGCTTTCATTTCCTTTTTCCTGATCACCATTCAAATACAATAGGAGGAAATGACATTTAAAGGGACAGCTGCTCTCTCCTCTCTCTCTCTCTCTCTCTCTCTCTCTCCTCTCCTCTCTCTCTCTGCTCCTCCAAGGCTCTGGGATTAAACACAAACACTGCAGCTGTTTCACTCCTCAACAGCCATGGGCAAAAATGTAGAACTCCAGCTGTTGTAGGACTACAATTCCCACAATGCTTTAATGGCATTCAGGCTGGCAAAGCATCGTGGGACTTGTAGTTCATCACAGGCTAGGGACCTACATATTTTGACAACCCTGTCCATTCACATATGGACTAGTAGGGAGATACTATGTTTACATTGGCATGTGTTATACAATGATAAAATATATTAACCCTTTCCAGTCTGTGTGTCTATAAGACTTTTGCCATCATTTATCAATCTATTCTATATATACATCTATCTAGTGTTTCTGCTCTTTAAGCCAAATTTGACACTTTGATCTAAAACTGCTCAGCAATTGTACCATTCATTACTTGGTTAGTTTGCAAGAGAAAGTCTTAAACAGGTGCTTGATGGAATGGCTTGATAAATTCATACAGTTATACCAGTTATTGTGTGATCATAACTTTATTGTTTTATAATTATTTTATCATTTTTTATATATTGTTTTGTGTAAAATTTTGTGATATATACATATTTATGTATGCATTTATTTATTTTCTTGTTATTTAACGTTGGTTTATTCTTGATGGTATGTGGAAGCGACATCAACACCCATTTATTAACGACTCCACGTTAACCAATCAAACTTCATGTAAACACTGCAACAGCAATAACGTAGCGAACTCGATATCACAACAAATACACATGTACACTACATCCATAATGTTAGAGTTGAGCAATCGTACGTGCGTATCTGTGTTATTTGGAACACAACATGTTGCTCGTTATCATACCTGTGCTATAAAAGCACTCAAAATGGAAAGTCAGATCCATTTTGATCGCAATAAGTGTGGCTAATAATATCTGACTATCAATTTTGAGATTGTGTAATAAACAACGATAACTGAAGTTCAAGGGGGTCTGTAAGCACCAAAACCAGTGCAGTTTAATGAAGCGATTCTGGCCCAAAGAGACTGTTTCTGCCGTTTCTGAGAACATTGCTTCCTAAGGCTACCTCTTGTGACTGTCACTCACGACAGCCATTAGACGAACTTCCTGGTAGAACGCATGCGCATTAGCCCCCAATGCTTCCTTACGGGAAGACAGACATACTGACACACACACATACACTGACACACAGACATATATACTGACAGACATGCTAACACAGACCGACATACTGACACACCAAGATACAAACACACTGACAGACATACTAACACACACAGACACAAACACACTGACAGGCATACTGACACACACACAGACACATACCCTGACAGGCATACTGACATAAAGACATACACACTGACACACATACCCTGACAGGCATACTGACACACACACATACACTGACACACAGACATATATACTGACAGACATGCTGACACACCCAGATACAAACACATTGACAGACATACTGACACACACAGATACAAACACAGTCACAGACATACTGACACACACAGACACAAACACTCTGACAGGCATACTGACACACACACAGACACATACCCTGACAGACATATTGACACACAGACATACACTGAAGAACATACTGACACACACACATACCCTGACAGGCATACTGACACACACACAAAGACATACACTGACAGACATACTGACATACCCATTGACAGGCATACTGACACACACACAGACACATACAATGACACACACATATACTGACAGACATACTGACAGAAAACCTACTGACACACACATACACTGTCAGACATACTGAGACACACAGACATACTGACACATTCACACTTTTAAATCTACTCACAGTTTCCTACATTGAAGGATTGCTTCCCTGGTGTCCAGAGTGGTGGCTGAGGCTGTTGGGGGTTGCCGACTGGCAATCCGGACCAGCCCCCCTCCTCTCTGCTCTCTGCCTCCCTGGTGTGGTCTCTCCCACGCGGCTCTCTCAAGAAAGAAGTGGCTCACGGCAGTCACTGCCTCCCATGCTGCCAGAAAGTGCATGGGCCACCCGGTGGGCCTCCTTAGTGTGTGTCCTCAGGATGCACCGGGGGCCCATGGGTGGGGGAGCAGGGAGAAAGTTGTCGAGGGCAGCAGGGCCCATGGAGCAGCTGCCTTGGCCCGCCTAGAATTTAAAAGGGCCAGGGGCAGCTGCCCCATTTGCCCGCATTAAAGACGGCCCTGCCTGGAGGCCAGTGATAGGCTGAGCGTGTTAACTGATGGTCTCAACCTATCACCGGAGAAATAGTATGTACTATAGTCACCAACATCATTAGCTTAATGAAGCAGTTTTAGTGTATAGATCATGCTCCTGCAGTCTCACTGCTCAATTCACTGCCATTTAGGAGTTAAATCACTTTTGTTTCTGAATATCGCAGCCCTAGCCACAACTCCTCTGATAGTGACTGACACAGTCTGCAAAACAAAATAGTTTAATTTTCAATCACATGTAAGTTTCTTTAACAGGTTACATAGAAACATAGAATGTGACAGCAGATAAGAACCATTCGGCCCATCTAGTCTGCCCAATTTTCTAAATACTCCTGCTAAGTAAATTAAACTTTATTAAAATTAAATTAAACTTTCATTACATACAGGAGGCTCCTGTAGGGTCTAGCACGCTATTAACAGAACAGGAGATAAGAAATTCTAAATGAAACAGAATTTGCAGTAAAGGAAGTGTAAACATTAGATGACTCTTTACAGGACGTGTTTAGGAAGGCTGTGCAAGTCACATGCGGGGAGGTGGGATTTATTTCCTAAATGGCAGTGAATTGAGCAGTGAGAATGCAGGAGCATGTTCTACACACCAAAATTGTTTCATTAAGCTAAAGTTGTTTTGGTGACTATAGTGTCCCTTTAAGGTCCCTTTAAGTTGTTGTGGAGATGTGAGTATGTGAGTATGCATTCTTTTTTTTAAGTGCAAATCGGCAGCATGTAAAGTAAGTTACCTTGTATTTCTTACTTGCTCTTTTACAGTGACTTTAACATTGTTTTAACCAATAGGAAACGGAGTCCCATTACTGCTGAGGAATCGGAGCAGATTAAGCGCTTAAACTATTTACCTCTTTAACCAACTTACAAAATGTAGACACAAACAGTAAAATTTTAGATTTTTTTCAAGTTAATCTATTTTGGCCTAAATATTGCAAGTCAGTTGTCAGCTCATCACAGCACAGTGACACAGTGTACACACTATTATGCTATGGATATGTCTAGGACATGCCAGTGTAATCTATCCCACTGCCTTTATCAGCTCTTCCAAGAATAATTGAAGTTTGGGAGGGGCGGTTTAGCCATAGCCTGAGGCTTGATGATAACTTAAGATTCAGGGGACCTCCCAAGAACAGCAACAGTGGCAAAGACAGTTCTTCCACATATCGTAAAATGCATTGCTGGTAAACAGCAGGTCACTCTAATGATGAACCACTTGAATGCAAGTTTCAAATAATACAGAAGTCAGTTCACAATGCAATGAATTTTACCTACCAAGGACTTTACAAAATCTTTGCTGACTTGCGTTGATAAGCGTCTGCACTGACCTCAGTGGAATTAATTTGAAATTTGAAAGAAATTTTGGTAGTGGTTTAAAATGTATCTGAAACTTCAAGTTCCCCCTAGACCTAAGACTTAAACCCACAGCCCTTCATAACTTAAAGGGATACTATAATGCTAAGAATACAAAGTTGTATTCCTAGCACTATAGCACCCTTGCATCCCCCTCCCTCGTGGCCCCACTGCATTGTAAGGGTTAATAAACCCTTACTGTACTTTTCTGATTCCAGCTCTAATGTCCCTCAGTGCGGGCGGAGGTAGGGAGGGGTGCTGATGCACTTAGGAACGCCACAAGCGCCTTAGGCCCTCTCCATAGGAAAACGTTGCTGCAATGCTTTTCTATAGGGAATTGACTGACGCTGGATGTCCTCATATGGAGCGTGAGGTCTGATTGACAGTCACTAGAGGCATTCTTAACCCTGCAAGATAATTAATGCAGTTTTTACAAAATAAGAATGAAGCGGTTTGGGTACCTAAATTGTCCTTTTATCCTTTTGAACCCCTCCGCACTCCTTAGATGTAATACTGAACCCAGACTTTACTGATCTCTAGACTTTACATTGAACCCTTCCACTCTCATTAGAAGTAATACTGAGTCCAACAGCTTTCAGTAATTTAAAACTAAGATGCACTGGGGGCGGGGCCGGACCGCCATGCTGAGCAGTCGCAAAATAGTGTGGCTCCTGCAATCTCTCCCAGTTTTTCAGCACAAAAACGACAATACCTACCTGACAGCAGCGACCCAGTGCAAGAAGCCACCCTGGTTCCGAGGAGAGGCTTGCTGCAAAGTTCTAGTCCCTTGGAGGGGTGCTCTCCGTCACCCACGATGGAGACCACTCGGGCGGTGAGTGGGGTGGACGGCCGCTGCCCTGCTATCCTGCCCACCAGCGGTATGGGCGAAGCACAAGGCTAGGTGGAACTGGCCCTGTCCCCCCCCCTCTGGACCGGGGGGTGATCCCGGTCCCCACCCTAACCCTGTCAGTGTGCAGCAACATCAGCTGTGGCAGGGGGGCCCCAAACCTCGCAGGCCGCAATCAAAATGGCGGAGACCGCATGTCGAGTCACCCGCGACAGACGGAAGACGGACGCACCCACCTCACAGTGGCAGCAGGCCGGCACTAGCCACATGGGAACCGCCGGGCACCTGCAAAGACCCACCCAGAGCCAAGCCAAACAGGCGGAGAAGCCGGAGCCACCTCAAGCCAACGCAAACAGCTCCACAAGCAACCGACGGAGGTCGACACCTGCAAACTACTGCCTAAACACCGCCAAATGCTCAACTCAAAGAGGAGACAGTGCTCCAGCTACATAGCTCCACATACTGAACCTCTAGGATCACCGCGCAGGACGCACATGAACAACAACGAGGCTAATGGGACTTACCTCCTGCACGAGACAGGCACTTGATGGAACCGCAAATATACCACAAGGGGACTCACACTACAACTAACACGGCGGTCCTTCTGCCATTATTATGTTACCCAAACGGGTCTCCTGGCACAAAACCATTGACTATCATCTTGCTGGAATGGGGGTCCCCCCGGGGTGGAAAGACTCAAAGTGCAATCACACATGTTTGATGCTTTCTCTTTGGTTTTTTTTTTTTGGTTTTTTGTTTTGTTCTTTCATCTAGTGTTGCCTCCAAGCTACTGAGAACCTAGTCTAAGTTAGGCACGCCATGCAGCAGCTTATTATTTACTCACTCAGACCAGAGATATACTCCACCTTTCTTTAATCAGCCCAGCAGGTACTTAACTGTATATATTCTCACTCACAGTTACCACAGAGGCAGTATAGACATACTTATAATACACCACTTCGCCTCTCCGCTGATTATTCTCTGTTCACTCAGGCAACTGAACAGGCGTAGATGTTGTCTCTCACTGTTCCGAAACCTGATGTACATGTATGAGTACCTGTGGAGTGTTAAACTCATCTTGCTAAACTCTTATACATTTGCTTAGCTAACCAGTAAGCTTGGCATGTTTTTGCTTGCATATACATGTATTTCACGCTTAACTACACGGAGGAACGGCTGACCCATCATGAGAGGCACTAGCGGTTAAGCGAACCATACTACTTACACCAGCCGCCACAAAATGCTCACGTATCTCAGACAATATGACATTAAGCGTTTGTGACTAAATGCCCACTAACTATACCCTATACACAATCTGATAGAATGTTCCTGTTATGAATCTGTTAATATATAAAAATGTGCTCATTACTCTATTGCTCCTAATGTAATGCTAGACAAAATGCTCGAGGATTGCTGTTGGGGCGCCAAGAGCTTGTATGTACTAATCACCAGGCACACCAAAATAAAGATAAAAAAATAATTAAAAAAAACTAAGATGCACTGCTCCCTTAAAACATAACACTGAGTTCTTTACGTGTAAAGCTGGATAGATTTAATAGTGCGCCCTTACGCTCTCCTTAGATGTATCACTGCACTCAGCGTGTCTTGTAGACATAACTTTGAACTAGATAGATAGATAGATAGATTGATAGAACATTCATCTTTCTATCCATCTATCTATGAACATGAAAATTGACTGTGACTGTAACTGGGAAGGATTTATGCTGACGGTGACATGACGCCTCCCATGCTGGGCTGTGTGTATCTCATGCAGATAGTGAGAGTGCATTATCAGTCTGTGCTTACTCTGTATAGATAAGTGACAGACATCAGGTCCCCAAAGAGACCCCTCTGTTAGATATTATCACATGTACATAAAATATAGGTGGGCATCCACAGGAACTCAACTAGCTTTGTACTAGAATACTTGGCTGGTCTTGCAGTCACATCACTGTCACAGGTGCCTCATTCCAGGACCTCATTTAAGCTATCTATATGTCTGTCTATTTGCCTCCACCCCCCGTACCTCCTTCCTCAGTACTCCTTTCCTTCTATCTATCTATCTATCTATCTATCTATCGATCTATCTACCCACTCACTGCCCCTGCCTTTTTCTGTCCTTTCATCCTTCTATATATATCTATCCCTCCATTATTGCATCACTGGTGTAATTTGGATAAGAATGACCTGTGTGTATTTTATTTGTGGAAGGTCTTGTGATACCTCCATATTTCAGATATAAATGAAGAAGGTGCTCATGCGTGACTCCTGCCAAGACAGATGGCAGTGGTGCCCGAACCAATTGTTGGTGCGTAGCCAGTAAAAAATCCAGATTCACATATAATAATCTTTGCACAATGTGTCCATAATCACTGTAGATGTAAAAAGGTACGATTTGGGGGTTTTCATTTTTCAGTAGTGGTTGGATCCGATTTATGGAAGGTTTTATAAAGATTGGTCACCTCATTTGAGTTGAGGTTCCAGACACTGTTCAATAAAGAAATTAGCTATCTCAACTTACATCCTGGGGTTTGTGAAGTTCTGTTGATTAGTCGCATAGTTACGCAGATATTTGGGGTCACTTCCTGTCTGGGTGAAAGCCCTATAATGTAACATGACCTCTGTTAATGGAGAATAAGACTAAGCAGGAAACAGTCTCACTTTCCTTGTTATGCATTCACATGAACTTCCTGTGTTCACATTATCAGTTTTGTTATATATCGTATATCAGCTTCCTTTAACCTCTGACTCTTTACGTGAACCATTAATGTATGCAGCATTCACTCATACAGAATTATGGGATGTCCTACAGCTGTGTATTAAATGTTATTGAAGTCAACCACAATTTACTTATTTTTTTCTTTTCTCAATTTGTCATGGCGGTTTGTAATGGACTTCAAGAATATGGGAAACCCCTTATACATCTGTCACGCACCTATATCTATAGTCCATTGACAGACGACTCTGGTGAGAGGTGTATTATATACCTCAGTAGTGTCCGTTTAAGTGGTATTTATAAATAAGTTCCATGTTGGCAATGAGAATGCAGATGCCACCATTGGTTTGAGCTTTTGCACCCAAGCCTTAGGCCAAATTTCACACCAGCTGGAGTTATTCACTTAAGTGAATTCACAGTGAATTTCAAATTTCAGGCTAAAATAGTCGATATGAAAACAGAACTGACTTAGATATTTTTAAATTTTTTTTTAGTTTTGCTATTTTGGTCTAAATTTTGAAATTAACTTTGAATTTAGTGTGAACTCCTGATAATTCCCCGCAGGCAAGCTATTTCCTTAGATACCCTATGCCCCACATAGCTCTGTAATGGGATCAACTCTAAAACTTCAATGTGTTTTTATTCCTATGAATTTATAAATTATGATTGTCATTGTGCAGCATTAAACATTAAAAAAAAAAAGGTCATTACAGTACAATGGATATAATGTTGAATGCCATTACCAAGTGGGATGCAGACATGTATTCTATTTTGTAATTCTACATCCAGAGACTGTGGGTGTATAGCAGTTTCCAGCCTAATCCTTGTGCGCACTGTGCACAGGGGACTCTGTCGGCTGTAACTCTCAGTACTCTCAGCTAGACCGTGCCTGGCTGAGAATGATGGGAGTTACATTCTACAGCATCTCAAAGGCACACGTCCACTTGTGATAAGTCTAGTAAAAAAAGTGCCCTTTCTCCATTGTTCGAATTAAGCTGTTTTGAAGATGACATCTTAAATGTACATCCATGGTGACATGCAACGGTAATGGATGACCACTCTGGTGTATTTCTTTTTAATTTCATAGTCAGGCCTTGGGTGCAAATGCCATGTGTTTACGATATAAATGCCCTCACGCTCCCTGAAATTCAGTGATTGTTTTGGCTTTATTAATGTCATTCCTCCAGCTCTCCTGCCATCAGACAAACACTGAAATATGGCTGGCTGCGTCCCCCGCTGTGCGCGATCCAAGTTCCTGTATGGCTAACTTCCTGCCGTCCACACAGCTGCCTACACTATGTTGCTGGGACAGCACCAAGCAGATGGCTTCCTGTGATAGTCTACTTTAGCACGCTTATAACACACAATATTATAGAGGTCTGTCAAAAATGCCTTTCCCTTTTCTTAATCATATCTATCCTTCCGAGCAGTCGCACTTAATACATATCTAGATACTGAACCCTCTCACTTTTTAAATTTGATTTTAAAATATATATATATTTTTATTTTTTATTTTGTTGAAGTATAATCCTATGTGAGCCGAGGGTACTATACCAAGGGTACTTTAACTTTACTTTTTCAGGAAAGTTGAGTTCCTTCGTGTCATTTATCCCCTGTCACCTTGATTATGCAGAATGACATTGGCATATACATTCCATGGGCAATGTAATGTTAGTTTTCCTTCCTTGTGCTTGTTCTTAATGATTATAATTCCCTTGACACTTGTCTTCACTTATTTTTATCTTTTCTTTCTTGTGCCCCATCTCAATTTCTGGGTGCGTCCATTTTGTTCCTTTCTGTCCATTTAAGTTTTTTTAGTGTGGTGTTACATACAGACATACGTGCATTGTGTCAAACAATAGAAAGAAGAAATAACCAACATTTAAGCAATACAGATTAGGCTGCATAATTTTTAAATGCTGAAATAAAGAAAAGTGAATTTTTCACAGGAATGTAAAATATGAGAACCTCTACCCAGGCACATAACAGAAGAACAATTATAAAACACTTTTGTGCACCCAATGGAAGCTACAGCACACCCGATCTGGAGAAGCCAATATAAGGAACATGGAACCGACGACTGCCATCACAAACCCAGTTCTGACTCAAAGTCAGCTTCTGATTTTACAGGAGTGCACCACTCCACATAATAGACACGGGTAATTTCCCTTTAGTACACCTTGCTGCGTCAACTTGCCAGTATAGTCTTCCCAGTTGAGGAGTATGTGGGGAGGAAATTGTCACTTTCCATGGGTCTCTGAACCAGCTTGCTGCCCAAAGGAATCCTGTTCTGGAAGTGGCTGTCGCTTTGCTTGTGGCTGTTGGAGTCTGGAATCCGGCTGGGAATATTGGAGACCACCACTTGGAGTATCAAGGCATTCTCTCTGTTTAAGCCTTGCCATAAATTAGGCACGAATTAACTCGAGTGCCCCAAGGCAGTCTGCAAGAGTTCTCTGAGGTCTCCCACTCCTCTCTGACTTTATTGTGTGTCGGCTAAGCCATCTTAGGTGGCTTATGTTGGCTTTCCATATAGACCCTGCAGTTTGATGGAGCTCTGAGGCTAAATGGATGGCCCTGACACAGGAGACCGTGTCCGGGATAACACCCATTGGTCCAGGACCGGGATAACCCTCACCGGTTCAGGGACAGGAACAGAGTCACAAGGAAAACCTCCGCCAAGAACAGCGCTCACACCAGGCACGAGAATGGCCGCTTCTCCCACCAAAACAGCTATCCA